TATATACGAATCGAAATTAAGCAGGGTTGGGGTAAGGCAGTGCTGGGTCTTCATGCCGATTTCATAGATGATAGACAGTGAGGCCTCCATGAGAGGCTAAGTGAGGGGGCAGGCCACACAGACATGTAGTAGAGAGAGACAAAAGTAGGGCTCGGAAGGAGTGCTCAGCTTCAGAGGCACTAGAGACTCCAGGGTGACGGGAATGAGAGATGGAAAGGCAGCAAACAAGAGCAAGGTCAGTGTGAAGTGTCAGCCCAGCTTCTCCTCTGAGGTAGGAAGGAAGCCAGCAAACGGCTCTCAGCAGAGAGGTGATGATACCATTGAATTGTCATTGACCATACTGGTTGCTGAGGTGGGAAAGGTATGTGGACACAGGCTAGTGCAAGAGGGAGAGGAAGTCATTCCTTGATTTAGGAGCTGAGATGCTCCGGACCAGGCTGGGCCCATTCTAGAGCAGACCTGCTGGATGTCAATGCCCTGGGAAGGGATTCCTAGCAGGGTTTGCAGAAGATTGGATGTGAGGGACAGGAAGAGACAAATCAAGGGTGAACTGAGATGCTGAGCAAGTGAAGGAATTGCCTGGTGTATGAAGTAGATTGCATAAGAAGTAGGTCAGAGTGACCTATTATGTAAAGTACTACAATACTGTGTCACTCTCCTAGCTCTGCTTTCTCCCTGTCCTCCCTAAGCATGCCTCTTTCTGGTTTCGATGGTCTTACATCCTACGCAGAGCCTAGCACTTGGCAAGGGTTCAGTTTGCATTTGCTGCTTTCTAAGTGGCCAGAGATGCTCATTCCCTGGCGGTTGGTTCCCTTCTGAGCAGAGAGGTTAAAGCAATTCCTGTCCAGGGGTCTGTGTACTATCTTTTTGGGTCTGGTAAGAAGGGCACCCTGGGAATGTGTAGAAACATCCCTATCATCCTTTCTCCCTGAGGATGTGACATGGCATCTGTCATTGTGACTCTGGCTGTGGAGTGGGCCGTGACATGATGCATATTTGTCATTGTGGCTCTGGCTGTGGAGTGGGCTGTGGCAGCCACACAAATCCAGTTTCTCCTGCTTCTTGGAAGCATGCTGCAAGGTTCCTGGCACAGCCAGTCTGGAGTCCCCAGCTTTACACTTCCCCCACCATGCTTTTAATCATTTTTGTATTTTTTTTCAATTTAAAAAGAGAAAGAAGGCTACGAGGAAGGATGGAATCAGGGAACGTAAAGGAGAGGATGGTCGCAGTGTTTAGTGTCTTTCTCTCATGTACGATTATGTGGGATAGTCAGAGTGTAAGAGTCAAGTCCTTTCTTCAGTGGCTGGTTTTGTAAATCAAAGCTGGGTGTAATAGTATACTTCATTGATTTCACGCAAGCGATCTAGTTATAAACGCTTCATGGAGCATGGCTGCATGTCCAACAGTTGGGTTCTGACTCTCCTTCTGAAGTTCAGGATGGGGAGAGAAACCTCTGCTCTCAGCTTGGGGGAAGTTCCTGAATCCCAGGGCTACCACCCATGAGCTTGGAAAAGACCAAAGGCACAGGGTGAAGAGAAATAGTCATAGCCTAGGTGTGGGCCAGAGCAACATTTCCCTCTGTTTTCCTTGGGGGCTGGACAGTCCTGATTGAAGTGATAGGATTACCAGAATGTGGGGAGAGGGGCCCCACAGGACCTTGCTGGGGTAAGCACCAATGCCTATGTGGCTCTGGGTTCTGCAGGGGTGGGGAGCTGTCCACTTGCCTTAACCACGTCTTCATCTGCTGACCTGCACTCCACCGAGTCCAAAGGATCTGTCACCGTGCCGTCCTCCTCCACTGAGATCACCTTCACAGGGATGGCCACCGACCTCCCGGTGAGGATGGCTGTGTTCAGGATCTCTGCCTCCTGGAAGACCAAACACATTGTCTGTGACCTTCTTCCAACATGATCAGTTCCTTGAATGTGTGGATGCCTCTTTCTGCCTCCCTGGAAATGGACTGACCTTCTATCCAGGCTCAGAAAACCAAGCCCTGAACACCAGCCATCTGCCAAGAGGCCATTTCTGTCAACACTTGGGTTTCTACAGGAAGGACATGATGGGAGGTGGTGGAGTAAAGTAGCATTGCCATCTTTGACAGATGCACAGGAACCTTCCTATGTGTTGAGCACCCTCTTACAAGCTCTATGAGTACTATTTCAGAAGTTTTCACAGAACCCTGATGAGACAGGCATCAGCCTGTTTCTTAGGTCACACAGAGAGGTCATATGATTTGTCCAAGGTCACGAAGCTAGGAAGTAATGAAAATGGGTTTGAACCCAAGAACCCCAGTTCCCAAGTCCATGTATTAATGACCTAAATAGTTCCAAATTTATATACATTGATTCCAACTTAAGCATGTGACTACTGGCCAGAGAGACAAGGCTTTGAGAAAAGAGCTTCAGTTAGGCAAGCCACTTCCTGCGTGTGCTGGAGAAAAGACGGGAGTGAGCCTGCTGGGATCTCTGTGTTCTGGCTCCTTTCTCTTCCCTGAGATTTTCTAGGCTCTTCCTGGATTCTAGCTTCTGAATGCTATTATGGTTGGAGTCACACTCCCTCAGCCTCCAGTGTGACACATGGGGTCTGAAACCCATTCATTCACTCATCATACCCTCACTCATGCAAACATACTTTTTGCCACTGAACTCTTCCTTCAGAGATCCAACAAGAGGGTGTCCTTAACCCACCACATGCTCTATTTGACTGTCTGGTCTGTCTGCTTAACTGGAGGAGTTCTATGGTATTTGAAAGGGTAGGAGATCCAAAGAGCTCCAAGAACTGAGTCCTAAGAGCTAGAAAGTGGCTCTTACGCCTGTCTGAGGCAATCTTTCCCTCTGTCATGTAAAGATCTAAGACTAGAGCTAGGGATGCAGCTAAGTCGGTAGAGCACTTGCCAGGCCTGCATGAGGCCCTGGGTTCCATCCCCAGCACCACATAAACTAAGTATGGTGGTGGCACACACCAGTAATCCCAGCACTGGGCACAGTAAGGAGGTGGAGGTAGGAGGATCAGTTCAAGGTCATCCTTGACTTAACATCAAGTTAAAGGTCAGCTTCAGCTGCAGGAGATCTTGTCTCAAAAGGAGAGGAGGAGAAGGAGGAGTACCAGGAGCAGGAAGCAAAAGAAGAGAAGGAGCAGGAGGAGGAAGAGGAAGAAGAGGAGCAGGAGGAGGAAGAGGAGGAGGAGGAGGAGGAAGGGGAAGAAGAGGAGCAGGAGGAGGAAGATGAGGAAGGAGCAGGAGGAGGAGGAGGAAGAAGAGGAGCAGGAGGAAGAGGAGGAAGGAGGAGGAAGGCGAGCAAGAGAAGAGCAGGAGGAGGAGGAGGAGGAAGAGGAGCAGGAGGAGGAGGAAGAAGAGGAGCAGGAGGAGGAGGAGGAAGAAGGAGGAGGAAGGCGAGCAAAAGAAGGATGAGCAGGAGGAGGAGGAGGAGGAGGAGGAAGAAGAGGAGCAGGAGGAGGAGGAGAAGGAGGAGGTCCCTCTACCTACTTTCCAGCAGGTTCTGCACAGTCACAGCTTCCCATCTCTTGGCCCACTGCCCATCCTTTTCTGACATTGACCCTAAAAGGCAGTAACAAGCCACATGATATTTCTTCTGTGAAGTTCAAGCTTGCCTGTCTCTTTCTTGATAGAATAACAACAGAAAGTCTCGATGTGGGCAGGACTGGCTAGGTGTAGCCTGACCTAGCCGTCATACTACTTACAGTTACTAGATCCATTTGTCCTTGTTCTAGACTGGGGATTCCAGATACCTGTATCACCTTCCTTTAGGACAAGGCTTGTGGATTTTACCTTCATGTGGAATCTAAATTGCTTTTGAATAGCAGTAGCAGACAGAATAGAAGTTTATCCTGGAATGACATCACTGCTTTCCTTATGGCAACACCACTTCTTATGTAAGGACTACATCCCTCCTTCATAACTCGAGGCTCACAGCACACCACCTCGTTTGGCTTAGCCTTGGACTCCAATGACACATGCCGTTTTCATTCTAAAGACAAGGCTCCATTTTGAGACATTCCTTAACTCACAGCCCACACTTAAACTGAACATGCACAGACCCTCCATCACCTCATTGTATCAACTTTAAAACTTTTTATTACATTTATTTATTTATTTAATATGTGTGTAGAGGGGGGTGTGGAAGTCAGTTCTCTGTACCATGTCGGACCCAAGGATCAAAGACAGATGGTGAGACTTGGCAGCAAGTGCCTCTACCCACCGAGCCATCTAGCCAGCCCTGTGGATACTTTTCTTGGAGTTGAATGCATCAGTATCTATAGTGGGAAACAACAGCTGTCTCCATTTTGATGGAGAAGTGATGATCTATATCCTAGCATGGATCTTTCTGGAAACTGATACTGTGACTAAGGGGACTCCATGAAAAGATGGAGCAGGGAAATGGCAAAGGAGAGACAAGTTACCAGGACAGGCACCTGGCACACAGCACTTCAGGAACTGACACGGACTACCAAACACGTCATGCGTATTTTCTCTGTGTGTGCATTTAAGTACACTGAATCTACTGTGACAAATTTCTTAGTGGGGTAAGTTCATAAAACACACCTATAAATAACTCTGCTGAGGGCTGAGTCCTGAAAGAGGCAGGAATTTATACTCTGAGTCCTGGAGCTCCTGGGGCAGACAGTTTAGAGAGCCCAGCCTGCTACATGTGCAGGAAAAGTGCATCTCCTGCTTTGGAAAAAACCTCCTGGCAGAGGGGCCCAGGACTGAACAGGAGTATGAGTGATGGGGCATGGGAAGTAGGGGTGATCTGTGGTGGTACAGCACAGGGGAGATGTACAGGGTGGATCAGGTGGGTCAGGCACACAGGGTGGTGTGGGAGGACAGGTGTGCAAGGGGGAGTTGTGCAGGAGAAGTATATAGTGGTTCGGACAGGTATGGTGCTCAGTGTGGTGGGGACAAGGGAGGTGCACAGGGTGGCATGGACAGGGGAGGTGCTCATGGTGGGTAGGGACAAGGGAAGTATACAGGGCAGTGGGGGCAAGGGAAGTACACACAGGGCAGTGTAAATAGTGGAAGGTCACAGGACAGTGTGAACAGGGAAGTCCAGGGTGGCGTGGACAGGGTAGGTGTGCAGGACTCCTCCCCTCTCTCCTTAGGCTTTGAAGTCACTTGTGGCAAACAGAGCTGAGGCACAGGAGCCAGCGTTGGTGTCTGTTTTAATTTCCTTATGCTTCTTTTACATCAATTCCCTGCTCCAAGTACCAGCTCATCATGTGTTCCTGCTCAGAGAAGAGGAACATAGCGGGTAGAGAGAAGTGTTTTGTGACAACAGTAAGGGAGCAATCGATGGTACAGTGGTTTAGGTCTTCAGTATCTCCAGAGGTGCATGGATCGAAGACTTGGTCCTCATTTTGATTCTTTTGGGAGGTGGTGGAACCTGTAAGAGTTGCGGTTTAATGTGAAATCTTTAAGGCTTGGGGCTGTGTCCTCTAAGGGGATAGTAGAATACTGGTCCTTCCCTCTTGCTCTAATTGCTTCCTAGTCGTGAGGTGAAGAGGTTGTGAGGTGAGAGGCTTTGCTTGCTACACACTGTTCCCATGATGTGCTGCCTTCCCACAGGCCCAAAACAATGAGGCCATTTGGCCATAGACTGAAGGCTCCAAAATAATGAGCCAAGATAAACTTTCCTCTTTATTAGTTGATTGTATCAGGCATATGGCTGCAGTGACAGAAGGCTGCCTGCTGAAGCATATCAGAGAGTCCTCGGCCTGCAAGTGTCCTTTTCCCTGGCACTGTGTATGAGACATACCCAGATTAAATAAAAAACAACTTTTGGCAGCCCCTTAGTCTTTGTATAGAGTTCATAACATACAATTGGAAACCATTTGGTGAGGTCACCAGGAAAGTTTGTTTAAAAACAAACCAATTTTAAAGGTCTTTTTTTTCTTGGATTCTTGGTTGGAATCTTGCCTTTGACCTAAGTTGCTTTGTGATGCAGAGCTAGCAGTGAACTCTTAGTGCCCAGAACTCTGCAGTTCTAACAGGGGGACATTAATCATGTGCATTTTTTCTTTTATTATTTGGCAGTGCTAGAGATTGAGCCCAGGACCTTTACATGCTAGGCAAGCACTTGACCATTGAGCTCCATCCCTAGCTTTCTGAGTGTTAAAGGGCTGTCCACACCCAGCAGAACCTGTAGGAGGCAGGAAGGGGCCTCCCATCCTGAGAGACATTGGAGGGGAGAGCCATCCCTAGGACACTTTGATTTCCCACTGTAGCCTTCAGAACCTGAGGAACATTCTCCCCAAAGTTCATGGTGCTTCGTCAGGGCTGCCCTGAAAATCATACAGTGAGGATGTGGGAATGAGGAGCCTGGACACTGTATCTTCATCCCAAACACTTTAGAAGAGAGAATACTAAGATCTTGCTCATGGGGGGCTGGAGACATGGTTCAGCAGTTGAGTGTGTACTGCTCTTGCAAAGGACCAGAGTTTGTTCCCCAGCACCCATGTCAGGTGGCCCACAAGTGGCATCCATCCATATACACTGCATTCATGCACACACACACACACACACACACACACACATACACACACTCACACACACAAAATCAAAAAAATCAATCTTGCTCATTTTAACCATTGCTTTTGGTATTTACTTGTAGCTAATCCCTATCATCTCATTCACAGGGGTGATCACCATCCTCAGGCTGAAATGGGTGTGAAATTATTCGGAAAAAGCAAAATACCTCCATTTTCTCTCTCTCTCCCTTTCTCCCTTTCTCTCTTTCTTCTTTCTTTCTTTCTTTCTTTCTTTCTTTCTTTCTTTTTCTTTCTTTTCCCCCCTCCCTCTCTCCCTCCCTCCTCTCCCTCTCTCCCTCCCTCCCTTCTTTCCTGTTTTATTGCA